CAATCAAATCCAGGTTCGGGGAGTAGTTCGGTGCAGTTTCCCTGGATACAATTTAAGAAAGGCTCAGAAACCGAATGGTCATCAATGGGAAGCGAGGTGCATTACCGCCGTTCCGAACAACTGCCTCGTCAGCGTCTTCAGCGCGAACGACCGCGTATTTCAATTTTATAAATTTTCCCTATACATAATACGAGCCAAGAATACCAGAACTTCCAGTGTGGTATCCCAGTGATGTTACTGGATGCTCTCACACACCGGGCCCAATTATACCAAGCCTTTCGATCCTGAACCGCATGTCTCGAATTAGTATCCCTGATTGTCTGATATATATGCACCACATCTTCAGGGGTCTACCGAGAGATGAATTCACGGACCATCTTCACACCATGAAATTGATAGAACATCATATGACGTCCTCGACATGTGTGAAAAAAACGAACACATACAAATAGACACGCATGTCGTAATCTAAGCGCAAACACACATCATAACATAAGCATGGAAAAGCAATTTGCTCGGACTGGAGAAGGTATTAACCGATACTGTTTTTATAGCATTGGAACGCGATGTCGATGTACGTTCGCCGTTGCATTCGTTACCGCCGCGACCTCCAGCTCGACCAGTTGTACGATCGTCATCCAGCAGACCACCTCCACCGCCATACCGGCATAAAAATAGCCCGGCGAACAGCAGTAAGCCGTCACCACCAGCTTATCAGGGACGAGTTACGGTATATAATAGCATATACAATTGATTTTTCACATACGAAAACCTTGCGAGAGACGTGTGAACCGCTGTTCAAATGGTTTTTCCAGTTCGATGACTAGAGGAGTTGACACTTAGCATATTCAGTTGTCTAAGACAATTCTTTCCTTGAATCCTGTTTGTTTTTCTGGCTACTGTTTATCGGGATACCCTTTGAGACCCCCTGATGATAACTGTTTGCATGCAATAAGGAACAATAATTTATCAGATTTTACTTAACGATCTTTTGGTGCGGCAAAATCATTTCCGATTTCTGCAGTCATTGGGTGCCATTTTTTGCATTCAGATGTCCGCCGCAACAACTGTTGATATTATGTTAAAATTCGTAACCTTCGATTGTTTTGAGTTAGGCATAGAGCTCCATTATAGCGTTGAGCCTTTTCACTTTTCATTTCAAAAGCCGCTTGCCTCACTACCGAAAAAGAGCTACATTCTTTCATTTTAAATGTTATTCATCTTTATAACAAAAAAAATGATTATGTTATTCGTTTATCAGATAAATTTCGGCGGTAATCTAAAAAAGAGTGGGGAAGGTTTACAAACTGTAGACACATCGCCTGTTTTGGGGTTTTCCGTGGACTGTATTTCGTACTTTACTGAACTTGTAAAAATTTTTATATTACCTGCAGCCTGAAACAAAAATCTAAATATATACTAGGAGTAACTCAGTACTCAATACATACTCAGTACATCAATACTCAGACTTTTGTCTAATTATTTTTGCGAAATTGGCAGATTTCCTTAGCATTTACTATTTCAGAATTCGGGAAATGCGAAACGTAGCTTTACGCCGGATGAGTCATTGACGCCAGTACGGATCACGCCGGATGCTGAAGTTGTTGCAGAAGGCGAAAAACGATCGACGATTCGCGGTAAAGAGGAGCGAAATGAGAAAGCGATGAGTGTCTACGAGAATGTGGACCAGAGTGAAACTTTCAATGCATCATATGGTCCTGAAAATAGTAGTACTGTCTGGTTTGAATATGGATGTGTTTAAATGCTTCAGCATAATATCGTCAGGTTTAGCACAGACAGTCCGCTGGTATTCGAAACGCTGGAACAGCACGACCATCTACAATATTATCTTCTGCTTCAGTCTTTTACCCACTGGGAACACTATTTGTAAGCAAAAATCTTAAATGTTTCTTAGTTCGCTTCTCGACCGATATCTGGTAAATTCGCTTCTAAGAAGTATAATGTCTGGTGAATGCTGCTGTCGAGAGAGCGATACTGCTTTCTTTTTGTGATATAAAAAGGATTTGGGAAAAGAAGAAAAAAAAAA